ATTAGATTCAAATATCTAATTTGATTAAAACGTAAAATAACAAAATAAATCTAAAATCTAAGTTATATATAAAAAAAATGTATATTAACTCTATTCTGTTATTGCCTATGATTTTGAATAAAATAACATTATCTTAATAAAAATATAGAATTGTTTATATTTTACATTTTGAAAAATAAAATAATAATACTATTTAATCAATTGATTGTATATCACCAGATAAGAACTCAACTTTGAGATATATCTTTAGGTTAGACCATATTGTAAGATAAAATTAAAGACATTTCTATTATTGATGAATTTCATTGCACATGTTATCCCATTCTCTCGGAGTTCCTTTTACAATATGTTTCTTTTTTAATTTGTAGGTTTATAAAACTGCATCATATTTCGATTATATCTTAAGTCGAGTTCGATCGAATTTCTAAATAAGAGAAGAAATTTTTTAGTTATCATTTCTCTTATCGTCTTTGATTGTCAATCTATTAATCGATCAATTTGAATAATTTTATATTACTAATTTGAATTTGTTATACCTCCGGGGACTTTCCAGCCTCCACAATCCCTAAAAGTTTGTGTCATCAAGGATAGACAATCATAGTACATAGATAAGACCAATGATAGACCCACGTGACTTGCCTTGACAAAAGTCAAAAAATGATCATGAGTGTTTATAGCTTGATTAGCTTATAAGTAATCATTATTATATATGACTATTGATTGGTACACACTAAATATTAATATAAATTCACATTATTTAGATTGAAAAGGGAGAACGCTCATTATCAGAATAGACTCTCTTAAATCTAATTCTTATTTTTTGTGACTGTTCATTCTATTCTTTATACATACATCAGTCAGCGATCATTATCTTATGATTACTACTCTTCACTCAAATAAAAAAAAATATAAATTACCAACTATCGACAAAATAACTTTATTAACATCAATAATTTTATAAAACGTCAACTATCGATAAAATAAAGTTCTTTTTAATAACCCCTAATTAATTAGTGGATAGATGCTCTTTCCATCTATAATCTAAAATACAGGCTCTCACATACCATAGTAATTGATTACGATTGGTAAATACTTAAATAGCACCCAACTACCCTAATGCACCCATCCACCACGAAAAATGTGCCATAATTCATCTCTTAAAGTCGGCGATTTTCCATAAAAATCACCCTACACCTATATATTTTTCTGTCATGTACCGTTTAAATTATATTTTTCGATCTAACATATTTTAATAAAAAAGCACGCCCCTACAACGCGCTTTAGGTTGATCTGGCGCCACCAAGTGTTAATTTTGTATTTTTTTTAAACTAGTGCCTAATATGTAATTAATTTTTGTTAGAGTGATATATGTGTAAAACTTTAACTTTATCTATTTATTTATTTTGATATTATTTTTAACAACAGTTAATAATGTTTATTTATTTTTAAAATTAATTGTTTAAAAATATTAAAATAAACTTTTAATTACAATTGAGATATCAAATTAATTACTATTCATTTTTTTAAATAAATAAATATGCAATAAAAATAAATTAAAAAAATAAAATTCAATAAAAATATAATGTAAAACTAAAAAATATCACATATTTATTTAAAATATTCTTTCTAATATTAATTTTAAAAAATATTAAATAAATATTAAATTTTAATTTTATTAAAAATGATTAATATTATTATTTGTTTTTTAAAAATAATAATTCATTTGATCCCTCAATTGTAATTAAAAATTTATTTTAGTAAAGTTTATGATTGTTAAACAGTCGTAGGTGTGGAAAGCTACATGAATCGAATGGAAATTCGATCGTACAAAGTCAATAACTTAAAATTGTCTAACTGCTGTCTAAATATTAACTCAATTGTACCACGAATAAACATTCGATCAAAGAGTTGATCTTTTCTTCTCAATCTTCACAAAATCTGTTTTGTCTCGTCATTAATTATTTTTTTTTACAACAGTTAATAATATTTATTCATTTTTAATAAAATTAATATTTAATATTTTTTTAAAATTAATATTAGAAAGAATATTTTAAATAAAGATGTCATATTTTTAGCTTTACATTATATTTTTATTGAATTTTATTCATTTTAATTTATTTTTATTTTATTTTTATTTATTTTTTAAAAAAGTGAATAATAATTCATTTGATCTCTCAATTGTAATTAAAAGTTTATTTTAATATTTTTAAACAATTAATTTTAAAAGTCAATAAACATTATTAACTGTTGTTAAAAATAATATAAAAAATAAAAAAAATGTTTTTTACACAAATATAACCCTATCAGAAATTAATTACATATTAACCATCACTTTTAAAATATTTACAAAATTAACATCCGAGTTTTTTACACGTTTAATAAGATGCGCTGCAGGGGCGCGCCTTACCCCACATGGCGTAACGCGCGGTGCAAGGGGCCCGCCTTTCTGCAAAGAGTGTTAGAGCGGGAAATATAGCCTGAACGGTGTGTGACACGGAAATATATAGGTGTAGGGTGATTTTTGGGGAAAATACCCTTAAAAGTCTATATTAGTGCATTTTTATTAATATGGATAAGTACAAGATATATATATTTAAAAATAGCTTCAATCTTTATTGAACGCTCACACCTGACATTTATGGTGTTCGAATCCGAGTCTTCAAGGAATAACAACAATTCATTTATCATAGAGGCTACTCAGTTCATGCACACATTAGGGGCCTTTGAATTTCTTGTTTGTGTTATCTTAATTTTGGATAAATTATGATTTTAGTACCTAAATTATCAATTTTAGTATGCTTTAATATCTAAATTTTCAATTTTTTAAAGCCACCCCTGATGTTTAGTTTTCATTTCATTTAAATACACACTATAAAAAAGTTAACACGTTTAGCACTTAAACTATCATTTTTTGTCCGTTGTAGTACTAAACTTTCAATTTTTTAAAAACTTAACGTTAATTTTTGAACGGAGTATTAAAATGAAACAAAAATTAAACTTTAGGTATAATTTTAAAAAATTAAAAGTTTAGAAATTAAAACGGATCAAAATTGGTAATTTAGATACTAAATGTATAATTTACTCTTTGATTTTTTGAATTGTCCCTTTCGGATATGTATGGATTATTACTTTTAATTAATAAACGTTTTATTTAAAACTTTTAAGTTGTCCTCTTTTGTTTTTCCGGAATAGTTTTAAATCTTCTGTTCACGTAATTGATTCAAGCGTAAATTAAAAGATATATTAATAGTAATTGATTGAATTTAATTAAATTAATAATTTAATTATCATATTTAAATATATAATATATTTCAATTTAAGTGCAGGAAGGAGTTTAGATAATTAAGATAATGTATAAAAATTATGTTAATAATTGTTCGGGATTCGAGTTTATCACCAAAAGTAAATTTGATTTAAGTTGGTTCAAAAGGGGAAGAAGGCGAAGAGAAAATCCGAATAGCTTATTTGTTATCCATCTCGACTTCGATACTTCTTAATCCTCGAATCCATACGACCACTAAACAGATCAAAATTGATAGTTTAAGTATTAAATTTTGTACATAAAATTTAAATTTTATTTCATTTTAGTACTCCGTTCAAAATTTAACGATAAGTTTTGAAAAAGTTTGAAAGTTTGGGTATTAAAACGGAACAAATCTGATAGTTTAGTACTAAATGTGTTAAATTTTAAAGACATGATACTAAAACAAAAAATTAAATGTCATGCATGGTTTTTAAAAAAAATAAAAGTTTAGGTATTAAAACGTTTAAAATTGATAATTCAAGTACTAAATATGTAATTTACCCTTATCTATATTTTATAACAATCAACTTTAATCGCATTCTACGAATATATTAATTATAATTTTATTTGTACAAGACATTGATTAAATTTAAACGTTTTGATGAATTCCAACAATTTTACATTAAAAAATATTATATATTTGTCACATACTGCTGCACATTATTTTACTCAAACCGTCTCAGCACGTGCGACGATGACGGTTTTTTTTGTATGAAATAATACCGCCCAAACGCCAATACAAAACCTTTTTCGTTTAATTTTGAATTTCATCCTTCCACTTTCGAAAATGAATTTTTTGGTCATTTTACTTTAATTTATAAAAAATTCAATCCTCGTATTTATGAGAAAACCGAATATTAGTTATTTTACTTTAATCTAATCTTGTACGAACCAAGTGGCTTCCGTGGTAAAGTAATTGTTGTTATTCATGACGATTCGAGTTTGAGCATTATAGATGTCATGGGTGTGAGCGTTCAAGATCAAAAGATTAAGAGTTATCTTTAAATAGATAATGTCATGTACTTACCTTAAATTAATAAAAAAACATAATTTATTCTTCTTATTTTATGGAGAATTGAGAAACTTATTAAACTTTTTATTTTTGGGTAAACTACACATTTAATACCCAAACTGTCAATTTTAGTTTGTTTTAGTACCTAAACTTTCAATTTTTTTTCAAAACCATACCTAATATTTATTTTTTGTTTCATTTTTGTATCTCTCTGTTAAAAACTTAACGTGTTTAATACCTAAACTATCAGTTTTGATATATTTTAGTACCTAAACTTTTTTTTAAAAAAAACTTTACGTTAAATTTTGAATGGGATACTAAAATGAAACAAAAACTAAACTTTAAATATGATTTTGAAAAACTGACTAAAACAAACCAAAATTGATAGTTTATATACTAAACGTGTAATTTACCCTTATTTCTTCCTATTACTTACATATATATATGGCTAAACTACTGATTTTTAGGTAAAAGGAGGGAATATAATCTCAGTTTTAGTAAATTAAAGGGGTGAAATCCAAATTATACCATGTTAATTCCTTCAATAAAATATCGGAAACACTTTTGTAATGGCAACCTCGTAAATAAATCAAAAAAGCAAGCCCGATTTCGCAACAGAAATCTCCATAAAAATGGAAAAAAAAAAACACTCGTTAAAACTTCACACTAATCACAAAATCTCGATTTCGAAATCGGCGAAGAACAGTCGGAATCTGTTGATCGGAAAATGGCGAACCAGTTGGAGAGCTTAGTGGCGACGATAAAATCGAAAGTGAGGGCGTTGAAGAAATCGACGAAGAAGAGCGGCAACAAGCCGTACATTAAGATGGACAAAAGCTCCAGCGTCAAGGTGGAGATCCGTAGCCGGAGAGCACGAGAGCTCATCGATCGGACTCTCAGGGCCGCCGATTGCCCCGGAAAACGTACCGTTTCATGACCCTCTTATTCTCCCATCTTTAGATGCATTTTCGTTTTTTCTTTTCCGTTTTAGAAATGTTTTAGATTTTCATGTTTTTGATCTTTTCTAGTTTTCCATGGACGTTCTGATTCGCAATACATGAATTCGATCAAATATAAATATGTTTTTCTCATCTTTCATGTTCCTTTTTCATCGTATTTTTAAGATAACACACTATGTTCAAAACAAAGTTAGAATCAATTGATTGTTATCATATAAATCTTGAATTTGATCATGAGGTTCGAGGGATTATCATCAAACGATTGAGTTTTTCGTACAAAATATTACTTTATAATCACTCAAAATCTATGAAAAATTTAAAAAATAAAAGTTTAAATCATCTAAGTTAAGAACAATAGAAACTTATTAGATATTTAATGTAAAATATCAGAAGTCTTCTTTTACTTGTTTAAACTTATTAAAATGCTATTAGATTAAATTTTTGGCTTATATAATAAATAATTACTTAAAATAAATTATCTTTTTCATTCAAGTACTTAAATTATTTTGATTAAAAATTAAGTACTTAAAGCATCTTTTTTTTTCATCCAAGTATCTAAACTATTCTTTAATTAATGTCACATGTTCAATTTTTTTAGAACTTAAATAAAAAAATTTGAATAATTTAGTATCTATTTTACATAAAATACTTTAGGTACCTATTTTAACTAAAAAGATAATTTAGGTATTTATTTTGATAAAAAATTTTAGGTACTTAATTAAAAATAAAAATACTTTCGGGTACTTATTTTTTTTATATAAGCCTAAATTATTTTGGGATAAGAGCCTCTCCCTTTCTTGTTCTTAGATTAAATTTTCCAATTTAATAATAATAAAAAATAAAAAAATTCACTTAATATTAATTCTAATATTTTATGTTAACTTCTTTTATCTATTTTAATTAAAATATATTTATTTAAAATGATATTTTGTAATTGTCGAAAGATAAGATGAATAAATTCCCTTTAAATTCAAATTGATTTGACTAAATTTAAAAATTCAACAGACCAAAAACTCAAATTTTATAAAAGAAAATCACATCCTATTAAATCAAATTAAATCAATAATTTTTAAAAAAATATTGAATTTGAATAACTGCGCTTGTAAGAGTTTGAACAAATAATTCCATGTAATTAACATAGATGATTAAAAAAATATTTTTAGGGTAAGTTACACATTTATACTTAAACTTTATTTTTTTTAATTTATACTTAAGTTTAGTTTTTGTTTCATTTTAGTACTCGTATTAAAAATTTAGTTTTGCTTTTAGTACATGTGTTCAAAATTTAACTTTAAGTTTCCGAAAAGGAATCAAAGTTTAAGTACGAAAATGAATCAACACTGTTAATTTAGGTACTAAATTCATAAGTTTTTAACGACGTACTAAAATGAAATAAATCTAAAATTAAATTTTTAAAAATGTTAAAAGTTTAGTTACTAAAACGGATAGTTTAAGTGTAAATATAGTAAATTATAGTTGATAAATGATAAGGTGGGAAGTTGTTAGTTTGGATTGAACGAGTTGATGAAAATGATTTTTTTTCAATTTAAAAAATTATCTCTTGCGATTTTATTTCATTCATAATTATGTAAGAATATAGGAAGAATCACGAACCAAGTGATTTTCGTGATAAAGAATGATTGTTATTCCTTAAAAATTCGGGTCGAGCATATAGATACTTCAAGCCCTAAATTTATTTTGGTTAAAATAAGCACCTAACTTTGTGTGACCTATCAACATTTTATCGGTCGAAAAATATTTTTCTAAATGAAAATGATTAAATAAAAAGTTAAACACTTAAATTGATCAAAATATAGTTTGGGGGTTTTTAAACAAAGATGCATAGTTTAAGGATTATTTTTACTTTAAGCTTCAAGTATCTGATTGCTTCAATTTTTAGGTTTAATTTGGTCAATATTAATTATTGTTCAACTCCTTCTGATTAGACGTTCGAGCAATTGACAATTCTTAATAATCGATATTATATTAAAATTTTTATTTTTTTTTGTGGAGAGATTTTTTATTTAAAAAGTTTATGTCCTTAACATATAGAATTTTGTGAATAATAAGATGAAGTGTCGATAAAATTATACTTCACAAATCTTTGGAAAGAATCGAAAATTCCTTCAACATAATTAAAATATAAAAAAATTAATATACTATAAAAATAGGTTTAATTATAAAAATAAGTGTCAAAATTATAGCGTTTTTCATGAATAAGTACCTAATTTTTTTTTAAATGTTCCAGGTGTCTGACGTTACAAACGTTATCACTTTAGGTGTATGGATCGTAAATAGTGTTAATTTTATCCATTAAGTAGCACATGTGACGTTATGGTTTTAAAAAAATATATTTAAAATTTAAAAAATTATAATATTTAAAAAGCACAAAAATTTGAAATAGCATCAAAACTTTGAAAACCCTCATATCCACCACTAAACTCATGCAAGTTGTTGCCCTTTTCCATCAATGAAGTTCCACTAACCTCACCTTCCTCCGACAATCAATAACCCTATGAAACCGCGACCAATTGATATTTTTTACCCTGTGAATCGTAAGATGAAATTTACAATTTCACGCGATCCCATCGATCAATCGACGACAACTATGGTGGTGTATAACTAGGAAGATACAGGGAATACGCCAGCGACGATGTTCGTGGTCGACAAGGGCGACGGGGTTAAGGATTTAGGAGTTTTAGGGATTTGTTTTTTTTGGTAATTTAAGAGAAATCAAATTTTTTATAATTATGATAATATTTGTTTAATTTTTTTAAAGATAAATTTAAAAAATATCAGAATATGATATGTATCACTTAATATAGAAAATTAACAGCAGTTACGACCTGTGTACCTAAAGGGATAACGTTTGTAACTTTAGGCTCCCAGATCATTCAAAAAATAGTTTAAGCACCTATTCGTGAAAAGTAATATAGTTCAGACACTTATTTTATAATTAAGCCATAAAAAATATACGCTTTAAAGATGATTAGGTATACGATTATTTTTTCAACGACAAAACTTTCGAGATAATGTTCTGGAATAAATTAATTCACGAGCTAATGCACTCCCAAGATTAATTGCTCAAATAGGGTGAAATCCACAGTTGGTCGTAGGTCGCCATGCCTTCCGGGCGATCTTGTAGGTCGCCATGCACTTCGGGCGACCTACCCTTACTCAAACAGAGAGAATGAACGTGTTCCATGGCACATGCACGTCCCAACACATAGGTCACCATGCCCTCCGGGTGACCTTGTAGGTCGCCATGCACTCCGGGCGACCTACCCTTGCTCGCTCGCTCGGATGCCCTCGCATAGCTCGCTCGACTGCCCTCGCATAGCTTGGTCGGATGGCCTCGGAGACTCTCGCATAGCTCGGTCGGATGGCCTCGGATGCCCAGCGTGTTGGGACGTGCATGGCACATGCAATCTCTTGTAGCTCGCCGGGAAGGCATGGCGACCTATGGCCAACACTATGAATTTCACCCTATTTGAGCAATTAATCTGAAGAGTACATTATCTTGTAAATTAATTTTTTCCAGAACATTATCTCGAAAGTTTTACCTTTTTTTCATCACCAAAGAAAACGCTGGTTTTTATTGAAAATAAAAAACCACCAGCTCTCATGCACTTAAAGCTTATTCAGCCAAACAAGAATAACAAAGCAAAGTCTGAAGATTATGGAGAACCTATCCACCGTCGATCTTCTGCAACCTGAGTCATGACCTTGTTCGGAGCATCCTCAGCCCAGAAGCGGTCCGCTTCACCCTGTTCCCAGTGAGTTGCTTTATTTCCTTCTCGCGGCGTAAATCAACGAACATGCACGGAAACTCCCAATTCTTTGTCTTGCCTCCCATGTCAGAGCACTCGCTTCCAAGAGATCTGGTTCCCGTGAGGCCAGCTTCGCCATCACCGATCGTGCGTCGCCTTCGATGACCACTGACCTGAAGCCCATATCAGCTGCAAATTGAGTATCCATAGAATTCGACTCGTGAATATTTGTTTTTTATTATATTACTTAATTTGAATTTTAAAAAATATTCTAAACTATTTATAATAATTTGTGAATTATGATGAAATATTTATAACTTAGTTCAAGTTTTTTTTTATTTTTTATTTTAAAGGAAATTATGTGTTTGACTTATTTTAAATTTTATTAATTTTTTAACACAAGGTTTTGACATCAACTCGGAATTTTTATTATTTCATATCGATCGTCTACACATAGCTTCTAATTACCTCCCGTGTACAACAAGCAGCGATTACTTGAGAAAAAAGAAAAGAACGTTACATAGCTATATATGAGAAGCGTAGCCTACATGTTTAATGTCGACCATTTATTCATAATCGACGACATACAACTTTATATTATCATGCCATTGATTCCCACTAGAGTCCGATCACGATTCCGAGATAAAAACATCAGTCCCGGTTCGATTTACGTCGATCCTCGAGCTCCTTAATCAAGGCAATAGCGACTTCATAGGATGATCCACCTTCTTCAACAGCTTTCTTAGCTATCTCTCCGATCACTCTCGCTTTATTCCTCATCTCCGCACCCTCTCCTCCGCCATCCATCAGCCGGTTCACCGCCGTCTCCACCATGTCTCTCCCCACCGATGCCCGAGGCTCCATGGTCCACCTTCTCCAATCCAAACTCCCCACCCGAACACCAATCTTCAACACATCGGTGACCAGCTTCTCGTTATAGAACTGCTCCGCCGATATCGGCCATGTGATCATTGGAACGCAGCAACTGACGCCTTCCAAAGTCGAATTCCACCCACAATGCGTCATGAAACCGCCGACCGAGCCGTGTTCAAGGATCAATAACTGCGGCGCCCAACCGTTGATTATCAGACCCTGTTTCGATTCCTTCATTTTCTCTTCAAATCCACTAAAAAACTGTTTTCTTTCACCTTTGAACACGTCTCGAATTACCCAGATAAATGGCTGATTCGAGGCTTGTAGGCCACGAGCGATCTCGA